TCAGAAAAAAGAAAGAAAGAAAGAAAGAAAGAAAGAAAGGAAGGAAGGAAGGAAGGAAGGAAGGAAGGAAGGAAGGAAGGAAAGAAAGAAAGAAAACCTATTTTCCAACATAGTGCTACCAAGAAAGGGCGACCAGAAAAAAAATCAAGAAGCTTACACACATTTCCATCAAGATATCTTTTCTTTTTTTTTTTTTTGTACTGAGCTTGCATAGACAATTTATTTTTTATTTTTTTTCTTATCAGTTACATTTTATTAACTCTGTATCCCAGCCGTGTCCCGATCCCTCATTCCCTCCCAGTCCCTCCCTCCCTCCTTCATCTCCAACGTGCCCCTTGCCAAGTCCACTGATAGGGGGGACCTCCTCCCCATTCATCTGATCCTGTCTTATCAGGTATCTTCAGGACTGGCTGCAAAGCTCTCCTCTGTGGCCTAACAGGACTGCTCCTCCCTTGGGGGGTGGGGAGGCCAAAGAGCCAGTCATTGAGTTCCTGTTAGAAATAGTCCTTGTTCCCCTCACTATGGGAAACCAATTGGTTACTGAGCTACCACAGGCTACATCTGAGCAGAGGTTCTAGGTTACATTCATACATGGTTCTTGGTTGCATGTCAGTCTCAGAAAAGACCCTGTGCCCAGATATATTTGGTCCTTGTGGAGCTCCTATCCTTTCCTCATCAGACTAACTCCCCTTCTTTCTTATGATTCCCTGTACTCTGCCAAAGGTTTGGTCATGAGTCTTTGCTTTGAAAACACTGCTAGTTAGAGTCTTTCAAATGCGCTCAGTAGCATTTGAAAGATATCTTTTCATACCATTTCAAGCTTAGGCTTTTACAAGGTGAGGTTGTCCATCATTCCAACCCTTTTCATACCATTACTGTCAATTCAATTTAAAGAATGCAAAATCTGTATCTTTCTTAACAAATCAACAGTTGAATGATGTATATGTGAGGAGGAAAGTACAGATGACAATGATGTACCCTTTATTACCTGACATCTTCTATCCTAAATAGAAGCAAAGATCTAGCTACACAAAGGTTTTCATTGAATAATTATGTCCGCTTCCCAGGTTCACACCTGGTTCACACCTGCCTCTCCTCGGGCATTTGAAACTCTACAGAGCATTTCCCACTTATTTAACTCTGTCATCTGTGCTGTAGCCTTCATTCACATGCCTCAGTGTTTCTCAGCATTTCTGTTAAGTCTTCAAGCCCTGGGAATCCTCATCTCTATAGGACCAGCTCTCTTTATTGCCCAAAAGTTCTATACTGATTGCTGATCTCCTCTTCGGCCAGTTCAGGACTTTGCGTTCACTTCCTCATTTTCAACTTGCAACTATCTTCCGAGAATGAAGTATACGGCCTTTTTCTTTGTCAAGATGACTTGATTTGTCACCTTCTCCCGCCACGGAGAACCATGATGAGATCCAGGGTGTCCGCACCACCTCACATCACCATTTATCTTTCATTCTAAACTCAGCTTTGTCATTTCTTCATGTGTATATGTGGTGCTGGGACTTGAACCCAGAACCTTACACATGTTGGCTAAGTCATGTTCTACCCGTGAACAAGAGCCCCCAGAAGTCTCAGGTTTGACACAAGCAAGCAAACCTCCTTTGAGTCTACACATGAGATGTTTCTTTCCCACATTAAAAAAAAAATAATGCTGGTATTTGAATATCCTCTAAAAGTGATACCGCAACTTAATTGCCATTGTTAGAGTATTAAGAGGAATTGTGTTCCTGTCAAAAGGATTAGTTCGGCCCATTTGCCCTGACTCACCCAAACTGCCCTTGCCAGATGCTGCGACCAAAACCCCAAACTTCTCAGTGTTCAGCACCAGGTTTCAAATGAACCTTCGATGTTTATGAACTACCCAGCCTGTGGTATGCTGTGACAGCAGCACAAAGTAGATCCACATAAGTTGCTTATGGCCATCCACCCCATTTCCTCAGTAGTATACTTCTTCATTCTGTCCCATTTTTCTTTTATTCCTAATAAAACATGAAAATTACTCCCTTATTGGTTTCTTCCTCCTTTATTCTTTAAACTCTTGACAATATTTTTTTTCCTTCTAAACAACTTTTATATTCTCTCCTACATTCTTCTGCCTCATCCACAGTGGTTATTTGATTACTCTTTCTCCTTTTTTCTCTTCCTCCTCCTCCTCTCCTTCTTTTTAAATATCTGGATACTGACATCCCAAGAAGGCCCAAAGCTCCTTCCCTCATAATTTCGTACTCTACCTAACATGCTGCCTTCAAATGTTCAGACTCTGTGCTTTCTGTTTTGAAGTCCTGTGGCTTAAGCCTTCACTGGTGTGTGTGTGTTTGTGTGTGTATGTGTGTGTGTGTGTGTGTGTCAGAATCCTTTCACCTACTCACATATATCACCTACAAGTTGAGCTTGCTAGTCAATCTCTCCAGTGCTCCTAGATTAAATTTGTTACCTTTCTAACAACCTCTTCAACTGTCATTTCTTTTTGAATATTTTACTATTTTATGTGTACAAATGTCCGCACATTTGCTATGCATCATATTTGTGTCTGCTGCCTGCAGAGGCCGGAAGAAGACACTGTGTTGTCTGGGATTAGCATTTCTGGTGGTTATGAACCACCACGTCAGTGCTGTAAGTGAGCTTAGTCCCTCTGGAAGAGCAGCCAGCGCTCTTAACAACCACTGAGCATCTCTCCAGCCCCCAAACTGTATTATTTCTGATAGTGGTTCTCATCATTCATTTAGAATTCTGGACACTCATTTTGTATTCGGCAAACATCCGTTAATGCACTTAGTTTGTGTTCATGGACAGTTCTAGACCCAGGAATGAGACTGAACAAAATGAATGGGTTTCTTGCCTTGTGGAGTGTGCAGAGCCGCAGAAGAAAAGTAACCCGCTAAGATGAATTTGAGTAGAGAAGAGTTCTATAAAGAAAGGTCAGTGCTGCTTGGTGCAGTGCCACATACCTCTAAGCTTATCATCTCAGGGCAGAAACAGGTGGATCTCTATGAGTGTCAGGTTAGCCTGGGCTACATAGCAAGTTCAAGGCCAGCCAGGGCTAAACAGTGAGACCCTGTCTTAAAACATTGCTGAATGAAACTAGCACTGTGAGCAGTGCAGCTGAGGGGTAGGACAGTCACATCAATCCCCATCGGAGGAGGGAGAAAACAGGGAACAGGACAGGAGCCTGCCACAGGGGGCCTCTGCAAGGCTCTAACCATAACCTGCAGGCTATCGAGGCAGATGCTGAGACTCATAGCCAAACTGTGGGCAGAGTGCAGGGAATCTTATAAAAGAAGTGGGAGAGAGTAAGACCTGGAGGGGGCAGGAGGTCCACAAGGACAGCAACAGATCCAAAATGTCTGGGTACAGGGGTCTTTTCTGAGACTGATACTTCAACCAAGGACCACTCATGGAGATGGCCTGCACAGATGTAGCCTATGGCAGTTCAGTATTCAAGTGGGTTCCATAGTAATGAGGACAGAGACTGTCTCTGACAGGAACTGATTGGCCTGCTGTTTAATCACCTCCCCCTGAGGGAGGAGCAGCCTTACCAGGCCACAGAAGAAGACAGCGCAGCCATTCCTGATGAGACCTGACAGACTAGGATCAGAGGGAAGGGGAGGAGGACCTCCCTTTTCAGTGGACTGGGAGAGGGACATGGGTGGGGGGAAAGGGAGGGTGGGATTGTGAAGGGAGGAGGGAGGGAGGTACAGGGAGATACAAAGTGAATAAACTGTAATATATATATATATATATATATATATATATATATATATATATATATATATATATATATATATATATATATCTCTCCAGGAGGCCACTTTGAGAAAGGGACATGCCAACTTAGTCTAAATGTAAAAGTGCCAATCAGGCAAATGATGAAAAAAAGTTTCCAGAACAAAGGGATTAGAGAGTGTTCAGCTCTCATGGCATGCATACCTCTTTGCTTCTTTTCTTCCAGCTTTGCTCTAACTCCAAATGCTTATCTGTTCCTGTCTGCTCACACAGTGACCTTAGTCTTTATCCCTCTAGGATGTATTTCCTTTGAGGCTAAGCCCTGATACATTGAGTATCCCATATACTACCTGATCCAATGCAACTCAGCCAGTGCTGCAGAACTTACTTTCTGAACACAAAACTCCCAGCACACCCTCAATTCAGAGCCCCCCCCCCCCCAGAGTGTCCACTGGACCCACAGACTTGAAAGCCAACATTCATAGCTCTTGACGGTATGACCTTAAAATATATTTCAACACTTTCCTGCACGTTGGCAGGCACAAGCTACTAACATGACTGTGCAGTACATCTTTAAACCCTTCGGCTTCCAAAAAGGCCCATGATGTTCACTCAGCTGGCGTAATTGTCATCTCCTCACATGAAGCATGGGCCAGTCATGCCCCTCCAAGTGCTATCTCGCTCTGTCTTTTCCTTTAGTATCCTTCAGAATTCTCTGTTGTCATCCCCAAACAACTTCCTCCCTACGGGCGCTCGTCGTGATTGCCCAGGAATGAGGTTATGTGTCCATCTATCTCCCTCTCTCCACCCCACACTCTGCTGCAGATGTTTAGCGTAGTTACCACGTGTTATTTCTCCCCGTGCTAGCACAGTGCCTCACACGTAGCCGGCATTAAATATTTGTCGGACAGATGAAGGCATTCAGCAAACCTGAATCTGATTAGCTGGTATTTATTTCATGATACTCCAAGTGTTTTCCTTTTTAAAATTCCTCTGCCTCATTTCTCATGAGAGCTCTGTGTGAAAAGACAGGGCAGGGGGAAATGCAATTTGTTTTGAAACAGTTTAGCTAGTTTTAATCTGGTTGAATGAGCAAAAGTTTATACTGAGGATCAGTAGAGAGGGCTGGGTCATCAGTACATAACGCAATAAATAATTTTGTGATAGACAAATTGATTAGCTTCCCACTCAAGACCCATAGCACTTCTTAGCCTATCCCATGGCCTAAATATTACACTCTCACAACCAAAGGAGCTCACACTTACCACATTACTGCATGTTCTGTACCGGATATTTCTTCCTTCACAGCTCCTAGGTCACAAAAAAAAAAGAAAGAAAAAAAATAACAATTTTTATTATTACCCGTGAAAGGCTCAAAGTTCTGAGCAATTTTCTCTAACAATTTGTTTTTAATTCTAATTGTAAGTCTTTGTTTTTCTTCTAAATAGATCCTTTAAGTCACTGCATTAAACACTGACTAGAACAGATCTAAAGAAGTGGGATGTATAAATTACTTCTGTAAAAAAAAAAAAGAAATTAAGCATTTATTTCCTTTAAAATTTTAAGAGCTGAAGAAGATTCAGATGATATTTCTGCATGGATAAGAAAGAGAGGACCACCAGGAACACACGCAGAGGAAAAGGGGTTGGCCGTTAATGGCTGCAGAGGGAGGGAGAAACAGTTTTCTTCAGGGACGTTGCCTGTGATAAGCTATCCGAGTTCCAGTGGATGGCCCTCTACTCATGCACCTACAGGTAGCAGGTGGGCAGCAGTAACTGAAATCAGTGAGTTGTATGTAAAGGGGGCGAGGCTAAGTAGAGAGAAGCATGTGGACAGCAAGAACTGGAGGTGGGGAGCGGCAGTGTACCTAATGAATACAAATTGTATGTGTGCATGAGATTCTCAAAGAACAAACAAAAAGCACGTTTAAACAACACACCACTATCACTTCATTTATTTCCTTGCAAGGAATTCCCATCTCTTAACACTGTTTTGTAGATTGTTTTTGCCTCTCTACTTAAAGATTAAAAAAAAAATTAAAAACCTTCATTCATAGTGTGTGTGTTTGCTTGAGTGTGTGTGTTTGAGTGTATGTGCATGCCCTAGTGTGTATGAAGATCAGAAGACAACTTGGAGAAATCAGTCCTTTCTTTTCACCTTATGGGTTCTAGGTATCAAACATAGGCCAACAGCATTGTTGGCAAATATCTTTACCCGTTGAATTTAATGGCACTATCAAGTATACTTTAAAGATGCTTTATTGACAGGTGTATAATATTTCATCAAATGATACAATTTACATACCCACATTCATCCCTTGTCAATTAAGGACTTTTCAAAGAATTCGATAAATATAACACACTATCTCCCGCACATGTTTTATCCAAGTTTCTGACCACGACTTGAAAATAGATAAATTTCTAGAAGCAAAATTACTGAACTAAAGGGAATAAACTTTGGTAAGGCACTTGAAAATTATTGCCAAATTGCATTCCATAATGGGTGTGCTATTACTCCTACCCGCACTACATGGGAGTTTCCATTTTACTAAATTTTCATGAACAAAAATAATTGATTTTTGCTGAAATATCCAATGATGACAACTCCAGAACAATAGTGTTCTACTCTATTCAAGTACACCCACACTTTTCAGAAAGCAAGGACATTTTTATTTCAGAGAATTATTATGCAAGTAGTTAACAGGTATGGAATTCCACATATAATTTTAAGTTTGTTACATGTTTTTCCTATTTCCTCAGTTTGCTGAGTGATAAGCTATCACCATTGCATTCATTTCACAGATGAGATTATGCTTAAAGAGGATTGTCAAAATCCCACAAGAGCTAATTGGTGGAAGGATACTGACACAGGGCCACTTGGCTTTGAGCCTTACATTTATAATCATATCTTCCTCCTGCTCCCAATATAGCAAATATTTTGGAGCTACAATTACAGGCTAGGAATGAACTGACTTTGAAAATGCGAAGTAATAAATATGACTTGGACATATAAGTAAACATAAAAATAATGATTGTGTTAGGTATAAAAATGTTAACAAAAACAGAATGTTAATAACAAAGACAAAACAACAAGAAATCTGAAACCACAATTACACAAGGATTATAGAAAAAGAGAGAATTGACATAGATGCATGGGGTCAATGAGACCAGCAATGCTCTAGAGTCAATGAACTTGAAACTGGTCATTGGCTACTGCATCAATAGAGGACAACACTGAAGGTTTAGCTCATTTGAAGAGCATCCCTCATCTGATGCCATGTTGGCTAAAATGTTTTCCAAGAGTGCCCTAACTCTAATGACTGCTGAGAGGTAGAATGTTGGCTATATTGGCATTAGTAGGCTTATCCATGCTTGAATAGGCAAGGGAGACTACAGGGGATGTTAAAACAGAAAATGTATGATAGCTCTATACTAGGAAAGCTGAACTTTACTTGAAAAACTGAATTCTGTGTAATCTTTGAGGCAATAATGTCATTTTCCATCTTTTCATCTTCATGTTTTAAACATCAGATAGCATCAGAAATGTCACCATAAAGCTTTGTTCAAGTGACAGAGCCTATTACAGTGCATCACACAAAACAAGTCCAAACAAACAAACAAACAACAACAACGTGAATTTACCTGCTTCAATAATTTAAATAAGTTTTCTTTCAGGGATTTGAAACTCTATCTATGCAAAATTTACCAGAATAATAATAATTAGAAATAAGAGAGATAACATATAGTATAAAAGATTGGCTGATACAGAGGAAGACAATGCAGCCAGTCCTGATGAGACCTGACAGACTAGGGTGATATGGAAGGGGAGGAGGACCTCCACTAATAGTGGACTAGGGAAGGGGCATGGGAGGAGATGAGGGAGGCAGGGTGAGTGGGATTGGGAGGGTACAAGGGTGGGGCTACAGCTGGGATACAAAGTGAATAAGTTGTAATAAACAAAAATTTATATTAAAAAAACATTGGCTGAAATACTTTTGATTGAGGCAAACAAAGCAAAAAACAGAGGGAATGCTTTTTATTTTCTAAGGAATATGCTGTAAATATCTACTATTTAATATTATATGTAAGTTACTTATATGCCTAAACAACTTCTTTTTATATATTATCCAATTAACTTGACAAAAATATGGTATTAAAGTGACAGTGTTCAAGTTGGCAAATTTGTTTTTACCCCTCCTCCTCCTCCTTCTCCTCTCCCTCCTCTTCCTGTTCCTACTCTTATTGGAGATTGAACTCAGGGTCTTGTACATTCTAGGCAAGTGTTCCTCCTAACCAAGCATAGCTCTAGCCTTGACAAAGTACTTATTATTTAAAGATATTGTAACATGTAAATGATAAATTTAATAGACACACCCTGGCCCAGTGTTTGTGTAGTATCTTTAACTTTTCAATAACTGAGAAGGTTTATTATTCTCACTTTACAAACGAGGAAATTGAAGCTGAGAACGTTGAACAGGTTTAAAGCTACATACACAAAGAAGAGAGCCATGGATTTGGAGCTCTGGCTTTGACTAACTCTGAAGTAAGGCAACAGGAAAAGGAGTATGATGTGAATAGGGTGTATGAGACAGTAATAGCATATATGACTGTGGGAAGCTAGAAACGGAGACAGTCTGAGGGCTAAAGTCATCTTATTGGCACCATATCAGTTCCTCAGCTGCTTCTTAATTCTAGTAAATCCACTTCTTATAGCACAATATCACACACACACGAGGACATCTTCAAACGAAACACACCCATCAGTCACACACAGTGTGGAGGACTTCAGGGCAGAGAAGCTTTTTTTTTTTTTTTGAGACAGGGTTTCTCTCTATAGCCTTGGTTGTCCTGGGCTTGCTTTGTAGTCCAGGCTGGCCACGAACTCACAACATACCTGTACCTCCACAAGTGCTGGGATTACAGGTGTGCACCACCATGCCAAGCTCTGAGAAGCTAATTTTTAAACAATCAAATTTATTATATTTAAATACAGATTATTTTCTAAGTAACAAAGTGACATTTTTACGATAAGATTTAGTTACTGTCGAGTATGAATTTCTCCATCCTAGGCATATGTCAAGAACTATATAGTCTGTTCTTCCTCCCTCCCTCCCTCCCTTTTTTCCTCCCTCCATTCCTCCCTTCCATCCTTCTTTCCTTACTTTGTTCCTTCCTTTGTTGTTTTTTTAATTTTGTTCTCTTAATTTTATTTTTTCCTTCACAATCTATTAATAATAAATCCCGATTGAAGCCCCCTCTGTCAACTCTCCCAGTCCCACCCTCCCTCCCTCTTCCGCTTATCCCCTTCAAACTTTGTTCATCTAAAACATCTGAGTGGGTTCCTTTGTATTTAGGTGACTTATATCACCTCTAGAGATGAAAAACTACAGAAATTTTGACCCAAATTGTTTCTGAGAGCTGTTACGGTGCTTCAGTAGAGCGAGATTTGCAGAGACACAGTCCCCCCAGTGCAAACTGAAGCACTTGGAAGACTGTGCTGAGCTAAGCACAGTGCCAGGTGAGCACAGAGGCTGGCTCAAGTGTGAAATAACAGCAAAGACAAAGCCTGGAATACATTACAGCCCCCACTGACCAGAAGATGTGATCATTTCAGCACCTCACTCTTAGCCTACCACTGACCTAGAACTCAAGCTCCTCTCTCAAAGAACGGAAGACACCCCAATCACAAAGCGTTCTTTATGTGTTAATTAGTCTTTAGTTCTCTTATGCTGAGATTAGCGTGGCCTCGGGGCAACTTTTTCTCTGACATACGAAACCCTCAGACTCCTCTGGTTTCTGGTGTTACTGTCTTGGTTTCAATGATCATAGTTTGGCAACCGAAGAAGAGATGACAAAGTCAGGAAGAGTGTCATTCTCAACAGGGGTTTATTCACACACGGAAGGCTCTGTTCAGCCAGCTAAGTTCACTCTAGAAGGGGTGTGCCCTCCCTCTGGCCAGATGCAGCTGCTCTGAGGTCACCTGCAGGAACCCAGTGTAAGCCAGTGAGCTGTAAGGGGAACGGGTCCTTTCGGGAGCCACTGCATCATGCCAACCCACTCAGCCCTTGAAGACACAGCCACCTGAACTTCTGGGGGCTTGTGAGTGTACCTCCAGCTGCACACTGTCCTCATCTGGATTCAAAGAGGATGCTGGAAACCTGGCCTGGAACTGGCGCCCATGCGTAGCAGCAGGGAACATCAGGTCTCACCACAGAGGGCAGAAATACGTGTGTGATACCAGGCCACACATGCATAAGATGAGGGGCTCTCAGGAGCTAACCTTTCCCTTAGGCTCTGTTCCATGCTTGCATA